CCTATGGGATTTTGTTACACTTTCTGTACGAAAAGGCTGCAGTAAATATCTGGTAATGAAGGTAATGTGTAGGTCATAAGCAAGTGAATTATTAAACTTCTCAGTGGTGTCTGCAGGTATGCAGGCACGATTTCTTGGTTAGAGCATAACCCTGGTGGCTTTTTAAACCTACAGGGTGGCCTGACAGTACTGACCAAACTGAAACAACTCTTGAAAAGGACTTTGCTACCAATTCACTCTGTCTTCACTTCATCTTTTGTTCTCCACCACAGTGGTAAACAACTCTGGCTTTTTATATCCCCTTCTGCTGCTTGCAGTCTTCCAAATACTACTATAGACTTTTGAGGAGTTCTTTTAGTAGAGACAATAAAGAAAGAAAATGCATTTTCCAGGGTGTATTCTCAATGTAGTGTATGAAATACGTATATGATATATAAAATACCTCCATCTGCTTCTTCAGATCCTCTTTAAAGTAGTGTTAGAGTATACATTTTGTCTGAATCTGTTTCAACTTTTCTAATTTATAAGGGTCTTTAAATGTCAACTAGCTCATTGGCTACTCATTATGGCAATAAGTTACATAATAATCAGTGTTATTTTTGGTAATTGTTTGGATTTTTTTTTAAAGTCCTAAAATTAGTACATGCAATTCATGTATTAAGGATTTTACTGGTAATTGAATACAGTTATTTTACCTAGAGTTTATAATTTATTTTCAGATGGCTTAGACATAAAACAAATTAACTTAGTTGCTATAAATAAAACCAAAATACAATCTTTATTTCCGTTGAAAGTAAGTTAATATTAACACTTATAAAACTAGAAGCTGGAAATATGGGAGAATAGGTATGTGGAGATGCAGATAACAAGCTGCACGATCAGGGATACTCTTTCTGTAAGAGAAACTGAGCTAAACGCCTCCTTTAACATGTATTCAATCTATATTAATGCCAAACGCTGTACTTTTTAAAAAACCCTAGCATTTTCTGCCATGTGTAACCCGGAATGTTACTGTATTCTAGATCTATCTGTGCCCAAATTTTGTTACTGTTTCTTTAAGACCCTGCAGCCGGAAATGGAACTGGGGAGGTGTGAGCATTTTTTAAATCGTTTTTTGCAGGCAGCTCAGCCTCTTTGACTGCCTGATTTTTGCCTTGCTGGGTTCTTCATTTTGCTGAGGCAGAGCTCTCACTCTGGCTGCTTTTTTGGCCCTTGGCTTCTTGCTATAGAGCTGAGGCTGTGTGGACAGAGGCTTTTCAGGTTTGGGTTCTCTTTGGGATTTGGTTTTTTCTCATCTCAGAGAAGCTGCAGTTAGTGGTCTTGGTCTGCCTCGGGGCAAATTCTACCAGCAGCACGTGGCTGAGGAGAGAAGACCACAAGCCACCCTAGCCCAGCTGTCATTTCTTGCCTGCCCTACCATCTCCTGCAAGAGAAAAGTGAAGTCCTTACATGAGTTCTAGCCCCGTGATCCGAGAATGCCAGTAGGAGCTCCAGCTATCAGGGAGATAAGCAGAGCAGTGAGCAGAGGGAGGACTGGCACTCTTTCCCTTTGTCCATGAGACGTGCTCGGCTGGGGGGGAGCCACCTTGGTGGGGAGGTACTCTGTGAGATGTAGCAATATTGTATCTAGCAATTGTTTACTGTTATTCCTTGCCTGATGCTGTTCTGATTGTTAGTAAATTATATTTTTTTCGCTTACTTCTAGTGGTATTCGTTCCTCGTCGGTGGAAAAGAGTTGGTTAAGCCTATAAGGGGAAGCAACTCATTCCAGAGTGTTTCTTCTAAAATTCTGTAAAACCAAGACATAAAATATAACTAGTAAACTAATCTAGCTATGATGTGTCTTTAGTTCTTCATACCCTTCCAGGGAGGTTTGTTGTGATGGTTCTTTAACCTTACACTCATGTAGATGATGAGAAGAACTGCTTTTTTAAACTATTAAAAAATCAGCAATCCAGAAAACTATTTTGATCTTCCATGAGCCCTGTTGAAAATATGCAAGGAATTCTTGTTTTATTATACAGGACTCACTGTGTATTTATGGCTTTCAAAATAATGTCCCTTTCTCTCTGCCTCCATTACAGAAGGAGAACAAAAGAATGACTGTACTGGGACAAAAAGTCTTACCTAACCTAGTGTCCGGTCCTTGGCAGCCAATACCTAGGGAAGAGATAAGATTAAAGAACTGTAAATGACAGTATTGCAAAGACACTATTTTCAAAGACTTCACTAACTGCAGATCAGAGACTTCCAGAAAAAAGGACATTGTCTCCACATTTAGTAGTCCATTATGGATTTCTCTGTGTAGAAAAATCTCAAAATGTAATCTCAATCCTGATCATGGTACAGATCAAAGTGTTTTTCTGTATAACTGTACCTATGTTGGAGTGTGCCTTTACATTAAGATTGTGCATTTCACTCAAATTTATGTGGAAAGCGGTTGAAAACCTGAGGATGGGTTTGATATTTCTGTCATGGATTCAGATTGCTGAAGAACTGCAACGGTTGCTTCATATCTACCATAGCAGCACATAAGGGAGAACTATATAGCTTTGAAAATATGGAAGACAGGAACTTTTTTGTGAAACGTAGAAGTGAACCTGAGACTGCTTCCATCATAGCTTAGTATCTGCCCCTGTGAAAGGTGTATGTCTATCTGCTATGGAATGAAAAGCTTCAGCTCTGCTCATGTGGCATGACCAGCATTATCTGGTCTGTCCTGGTGTACATCCTTACAGATTGCAATACACACTGCAGAATGTACTGTAATCATGTCCCTGGTTTTTTTGTGGAGTTTTTTTTTTTTTTTTTGGAACAGATCATAATGCAGACTGCTTACTTATATTAAGTAAAAAGAGAACTAAAGAAGTGTTCTTCAAATGTAGTCCTATAGTGTCACAAAACAGAGCAATGCAGTGTCCCCAGACAGGTGCAAAAGAGAACTCCTTTATTGCAAAAACTGGGTATTTTTAAGCAGTTAGCCTTTTATCAGTTACATACTTTTAAAATACAACAAACATCATCCAACCAACCACCATACACAACAATGGTTATGGTTAACGCACAATGGTTATAAAACTTGTTTTTCTATCTCTTTATTCAGTTGAGTTGCTCCCAGCGGTCTTTTCTACTTAGCCAAAGTAACAGGAATGAGCCATGATTTCATAAGGCTTCCTTCTGTAAAGTTTTACCTATCTGCCTGTAAAGTTTTACCTGTCTGCATCACTACAGCATGTTATTAATGTTTAAAATGAAAGTACACATGCTTCTCTTACCAAAAGAAAGAGATCCAGATCTAAGAGTCGTGGGACTTTTAAAGAAATTTGTCCTGTGAAAAATACAGGAGTTTTCTCTGTATTGACAACTTACCAACTTGGCATACACTGGAACTTTGGGAGAACATTGCTAGAAAGAAAGGAACTTCTAAACTCACCATGGAGCTACAAAACGAATGGAATAAAGGTACAGCCATTTACCAATAATTGTAATACCATTTCAGAATGATACTGCTCATACTCCATGAAAATATCTGTAGTAAACCTAGATTAAATTCTGTAGCTTTGTAAACTTCTGAACGACATTTTTCCTAGCCATTTTCTTTCATGGAAGTCTTTAATCAGCATAAATTTTATACAAGTTGGTGAATTCATCAGGTTCTGAGGGATGACTTGGAAGTTCTGCTCTATGCCTTACCCAATAACATACAGAACAAAGTGCAAAACCCGTTAGTGTCAATGTGAAAGAAGGCGAGGTTTTTCACACCAGAACTAACAGAGTTTCCATAAGGGAGGGGAGCTCCTTGAACACCCATCTGACAATATCACCATCTTACTTTTTCTGGTTTGGATAAAACTTTGTGCTGACAAAACCACAGGTCAAGTTGGGATAGAGAACTTACCACATGTTTGCATTGGGAAAAGAGCTGCAGCCCCTCACATTGCTGCTTAGACCTGGCCCTCTAGTTTTAGTTGATAATGAAAACATAACTGCTGTCTTGGGCAAGGAATTACCCTATTAAGGTAGAACAGGAACTCTGGAGAGTTCCACAAAGAGTCCAGTGGTGCTGACACTGCAACAGAGACTATCTATCTATTCTATCTATTCTATCTATCTATCTATCTATCTGTCTGTCTGTCTGTCTATCCATATATATGTATATACATACACGGAAAACGAGCCAGGTACAGATTGGCCACAGGTGGCACTTGAGTGGGCCTGTGTTCTAGACCAATAATTGGCATCACCCCTGCTGGCTAATACTCCGTATTGAGTCAAGGAATGGCCTACAGATTGAACCATCACTGAAGAAGGTGAAGACCTGAATTAATCAGTTTCTCCAGACACTTTGGCTTTAGATGAGGCGTATCTTTGTTAGGAGCATGCCACTGGAACTGTAAAATCCTGTGGGACAATGCTGTTAGGAGGGCAGACTATGGTTTATCAGCAAAATTCCCTGCAGGACTAGTCATCATCAAGGACCTTGCTTTCAAGGACCTTACCCTACTTGGCTGGAATAAGACTTGGTTGTGAAGCCACTTCACAGAATCGCAGAATATTCTGAGTTGTAAGGGACAGAAGGATCATCGAGTCCAACTCTTAGCCCTGTAAAGGACATCCTCAAGAATCGCATTGTGTCCTCGTGACACGCGTTGTCCAAACGCTTCTTGAACTACGTCAGGCTTGGTGCTGTGACGGCTTCCCTGGGGAGCCTCTACCAGTGCCCGGCCCCGCTGGGCGAAGACCCTTCCAGCAGCAGGCCTCTCGTCGCCGCGGTGCGCGGTGCCGCTGCGCGCGGCCGTTCCCGCCCCTCACGGGGCGAGCCCGAGCTTTCCGCGCGCGCCTCCCGCCGCCCCTGCTAGAGGGCGCCTGTCGCCCCCAGCGCTGCCGGGCCTGCGCAGCAGCGGCGTCGGCCGAGCGCAGGCGCGGGGCCGGGCGGGGCGAGAGCGGCGGCGGTGGCGGCGGCTGCTCCGTCACGGGAAGGGCGGAACTCGGCGGCGGCGCCCGTTTCCTCCGTCGCGTCTCGGCGGCTGCGGCGGACGCGGCCGGGCTCGCCGGTGGCCGGGCGGCGGAGGAAGGATGGCGTACTTCGTGGAGAGCTTCTGGGTAGGGCAGCGCCGCGGGGCCGGTGACGCCGCGCCGCGGGCGGAACGGGCAGGGCGCGGCGCAGGGCAGCCGCAGTCCCCGCTGCGAGAGCAGCCTCGGCTCTTACGCCACCCCCGGGACTGAGCCGGGGCCTTGCGGCCGGGGGTTCGTGCCCGCTGCGCCCGCCTCGGCGGGGCTGGGCCGCGGTGAGCGGAGTACCTGCAACCTGCGGCACGGCAAGGGGACCGCCGGCCCTGCCCGCGCCGCCGTACTCGGGCTCCGCTGCGGAGAGACGGCGGGAAGAGGGATGGGGTGGTATGGGACAGGAGAGGATGGGGTGGGTATTGCCATGAGACGCTGGGCCGAGGGATGCGCGGACGCCACTCTGTGCGCAGAGGTCCGACGCTCGCAGTCAGCACAGTGCCGGGGGGTGACTTGGGCTGCCGTGAGTCGTGGTGCTGTGCGAGGAACAGCACGGGCAAAGGAAAAACCGCGCCTCGGCGCTCCGCGCTTTTGTACCGGTAGCTCGTCTCTATGTGCCCGTGAGGAGGTGCAGCCGAGCAGCGGCCGGCTTAGGGAAACAACAGGCTTTCCAGCCTACTTTGGACGTGCGATCTTATAAGTCATCTCTGCGCAGTTATCTGCTTTTTGAAGTGGGTAAATATATATGGATAAAAAAATTAAATGGATTGAGTTTCGTGTGACATGCAACTAGTTTTCATTGTGACCTTTGCTAGTTTGAAACATTAAAATAAGTGTTCCCATAGTCGCCAGACTGTTTACTAAGTTGCTTCTTATTTAATTTTTTTTGTGCCTCTCTACCAAGAAGTAGCAGAAACGTAAAAATTGTTTTTGTTTGAGCCTGAAGTGAAAATATCTTTAGACACATGCGTTTCTAGTTGTAAGCAACAGTTATGCTTAATGCTTAACAGTTATCCTGAACTTTATGCCTAAAGTTCAGGAAAAAACTAATTTCACAATTACACTGTTCTGGAATATAGAGCATAGCTCAAGTTTATGTTTTATTTGCAATCTTATGTTTAGTTTTGACTCCTTTGCTTTCAACATACTATTAAAATTTAATGACCAGAGATATTAGATTTGCTCTCTTGGCATACAAATCTGCTTAATTTGAAGTCTCAGTGTGGGAGATCAGTATTAAACTAACGTGGAAGAATTTTATCTTTCATTAAAATAAGATTAAAATTAATATGAAAAGATGCATTTTGGATAGAAAAGCTTCTATCTTCTCCTAACATTAAAGCAAAACAGAAGTTGTTTATTCAGCTATCACAACTGAAATTGAGTTTAAGCTTCATTATGCTTCATTATGTACTGTATTAAGCTTCAGTATATACTGTAGTATGTTCATTTAACTGTCTCATCAGTTGTTTTGTTTTGTTAGTAAGTCAGTTAAATTGGTGAAGGCAGTGGTCCATTCCCGTATGTTCTGTTTCCACGTCTGTGTCTTCACAAACGCTTCCAGCAAGTATGAGGTGGAAGGTATCTACCTCAGGTTCTCATTTCTCTCTTTCTGCTTTAAAGAGTCTCTACCTATAGCTTTGTTAGCAAAACCCCTAGTGTGGTTTACCAATGAGTGCCAAGACATGAGTGATTCCTTCTGTTAGTACAGGTTTTTCACATATGTCAGAAATGACACAAGGTAGGACAAGAAGTTTGTTTGTGTTTGTCTTGCAGTGATTATAAAGACATTAGACAGGGTCTTAACTTGCAAAATTTAACCAAGAAATTTTTGTGATACCATACACAGAGTTTTATTTTGTATAGAAGTAAAATTAAAAGGCATAGGAAATGTTCTGTGTTTCCTGCTGTGGATGAATATTTTCCAAGATTAACTGTAATGATGGATTTGTAAAATCTGAAAGTATTGAATTTTTGTATTTCTTCAGAACTAGGCATAAATTATAGGTTTGTGCATTTTTAATCATTAGTCATCTTCATTTGCACTAACATTTCAGAATAGGTTATTGTTCGGAATTGCTACTGCTTTGGAAGACTTGGGAAGCAATCCATGTAGGCTCTCAATTGTGGTGATAAAGTTAAGATGGGAATTAGAAGATACATGAAAATGCACTGAATGCATAAGGGCTAAAAATAATGAATAGAAATGTGTAAGAAGAATGGAAGGTGATAGTATGTAAAACTTCGTGAGGATTGTCTTGTCATTTCTTCCTTGCCCTTCTAGGTAACTCTAGACAAAATATTTTTGGAAATATGGAATAGGATTGGTATGCTTTTTAAAGCACTGATTTAAAAATGCATCCAAAACATAATTAATATTCAATTATTTTACATAGATGCTGTCATAAATTTGAAATTGTGCATTGGAAACGAAAGTCTGGATCTTAAGCTGTATGATGCTCTCCCTTGATTTAGTAATTTGCTGTAAGTAATAGGAAAAGAGATCAGAAACTGAAGGGACTTTACTGAAAAGGGGAGTGACATCTGTATGAGTGTATCAATTTCTTACACATATTTAAGCTGCTGTCTTCCTAAATGTGCTCATGTAAGCAAAACAAATCTTACCTTCTTTGTTGTAAGTCTTGAAAATTATCCTGAGGCTTTCCTCTTGCACCGCTTTTGAAAGTGTTTAAATAATTGCACACTTTGGTTTTGTTGTTGTGAGAGGATGTAAGAAAATTGGATGAGCCTGCTGTGTCTTCAGTGTTCTGTAAGAGGTCAATGAGAGATAAATAAGACTGTTTTCAGGATGTGGAAAGCTGGAGTGCAGAGACCTCTACTGTCACATTAAAAATTTACTATTGCTTCAAAAATGTAAGGGTCTGCTAATGCATTCTAGAGCTATTTTCCAAGCTAGGAGGATATTTTTGGGTATCAAAAGTTATGAACAAGTAGTACAGGCTGTAAGAGGCTTGGATTCTTATGACTTGAGTTTTATGCATTCAAGTCACATGTCCAAGTATTCCCAACTCCTAATTAGTATTGTCATAAAACACTGCATGCTTACTGCTGTGTATGTGCTACATCACAACAATGTCATAATTTAAAGGTAACACTATCATAAACCATTTCTGTTAAACATAGCTACATTTTGTCCCTTCGAGTACACTGTTACTGGTATAGGAGTATAGAAAGTGTTGTTTATCATTGACTTACAGTTTTCTTAACAGTGCAGGTGATTCTTATGACAGTTTAAAGACAAGTCAAGAAAAATAAGCACCTTCCAAACCAGTCAGTGATTGTTTATGAATTGTTTAAAATTAACCAAATTAATTAAACTGTTGGAAGTTCTGTGAATAGCTGAAGCTGGTTTCTGTGTAACTCTGTACTTGATAACTTTGGAAGTTCTGGCATATAAAAACATATGTATAAATTGGCTTTGACAATTGTTAAAATTTTTTTAATTGATCGCTTTACTGCTAGCTTTTGAGAATGGCTGTGTTGAAGATTTGGGTTTGTTTTTCCCAAATACTTTTTGTGGAGCATAAAGGTTGGCAGTATCCCGGTTTAATAATTATAGCTTTGTGAGGAAGCTTGCTCTATTAAGGGTAAGAATGTATTGTCTTACAAACTTGTGAGTATATGAGTGGCACAAAGACTTGCCATGTTGACATCTGGAGTTACACTCGTATGTCTTTGCAGCACTACTCTTCTGCTGGGCATACAGCTGGATGCTCTGTTTCAGGAGAGCTGTTATGCAATATTTACTTAGTGTCCTCTCTGTATGTGTGCATGTAGCACGAGTTGGCTGCCTTCCATCTGTTAGTTAAAAAAATAATTAAATATTTTTAGTTACCTATATGTGGTGTGAAATCTCTGTCCTTTCTCATATGCATAGAGCTTCTCTGGAGTTGATCTTTATTTGATAGGTTGAAACAGGAAGGTGAAAATTGAAGTTGACTGTCTTCTCAAAACTTTCAGAACAGAAGAAGATGCATTGCCTGTGCAAGCAGATAATGACTACTTTTCTTTCACTTTTCAGTGCTCTCAGTTTTCTACAGTTCTTTCAGACACTCACAAATTGAAACTTACAGATAGGTAACTTTCAAAAATGTAAGACCATAATATTAATCACATGGGTATTTTTAGGTATTCAGGGCCCATTAAATTAAATAATTTTCTAGGTAGAAAGCTTGGAAGATATGTTGTTTATTTGAAACTGCAACAAGGATTAACACTTTAAAGAACATGACAACAGTGTTTGTCAGAGCACCTAAAATAAGTTTGCCTGGTCCTGAATTTAGTATCTGACCAGTCAGAGAAACCATAATGTAACCAGTTTTTTGGACTGGGTAAATTGAAAATGGTGTAACAAAGTACAACTTCTTTACACTAAGAGATATTAATATTGAATGGTTTTAATCCAAAGGAGACAGAGCTTGCACTGAAACAATTTGATTTGAAATACAGAAAATAAATGCTGCTTCAGATTGCCTAGAAATTTCTGGGTATTTTACTAAATGTGCATTTTAAATTCAGAATTATTTTTATTGCAACAAACAAACTTATTCTTAAAAACGTGAAGTATTTTAAGTAGTTCAGTCCCACAGAGTTCCTGTAATGTGTTTCCTGTTATGCAGAAGTCATGGAAATACTGATTTCTGACTACACATTTGCTGACAGGGCTACTTTCATTTCCATGAGGAAATCTTTGCAACTAGTTCTTGATGAAGGGAAATGGAAGGACTGGTTGCTCTTGCTTTCCGTGACTTAAATTTGTTTTGAGTATGAAGTTGGTCACTAATGCTTCGTTGTAGGCTTATTTAAGTGTTTACTTGTATTTAAAGTCTTGCTTTCTCTAGTGACTTGCTCTCAGGGGACATCTATGCTGTAGGTATGGAAGTGGTTTCTTACACTAGTATAGAATAGGAAATCTCACAACAAACACCATCTTCTGAAGAGAGTTTTGTGAGCTCTGAGTAAGAAGGAGAAAACCGGTAATGGATTTCAGAGTAATCAAATGGTGCCTATATGGAGAGAGGACTCCTTACATTTTCCACTCTTACACCCAGTTTTACATTTGTTTTTTTATTGATTAATGACAGGATCACCCTCAACAGATCATGATTTACCTAAAAAATTACATTCAGAATGGTCTTTTAAACTGATCTGGAAGTCTGTTACCCAGAGCTTGATGTTATACATGACAGCAGAAGGTTGTCTTTCTCCACTATGCAACTTGTGGAAGAAGAATCTGCATCTGACTTAACTGTCTGTTATACCAGTGAATGGTATTTGCTTATTAATGGGAGTGGAAGGTTTCATCAGTTCCCTCTGCTATGTGCTGCATTAGTTTATTTTTAAGTAGGCCAGTAATGGTCTTCCAGTGATCACAACTATTACTGCTGCTACTAGAAAGGAGCAGGTAATAACACCCACTGAAGAAAAAGTGTCTAAGACACAAAATTTCCATGTACAGAATTCTATACAGTATGTATGGGAAGGAGAAATGTTGAGAAAATACAGCCAAAACACACACAGTGTTGCTGGCATATGTGCATGTAGGAGGATAAATACTTAGCTTTTCAAAATTGAGCAAGTTCTCCTTTCCCCACCACATACATCTGTCTCATTATGCTAAATACAGAGCCTTAACTCTGATTGCTGCTCTTTATGAATATAACTATCAAACGGAGAAGTTGAGGAAGGGCTGTATAGCTTTCTGCATTGACCCAGTGTACTTAATTTGGTTTGGCTACATGTATGTCTCCAAACATGAGCAGAATTGTCATCAGGTTAGTCTTTGGAACTGTTGGTCATGTGAAGAGTTTTGAAGACTGGATGTTTGTGCTTTTAGATAGAGCCTGATACAGGTAATATACCTGGTACTTCACATTATATTTACAAGTGAAGACATGTCTTTTAGGTGTGCCAGACTTAAATCAAATAGGCCCTCAAATCTGTGAGCCTGCTTTTGACTTACTGCTTTGTTTAAACTTTAATGTCTTTTGCACACAGGTTCTTAACCTCCAATAACCATTGATAGTGTATAAGAGATGAGGCTTTCAGGGGGCTCAGTTGAGGAAAGTATCTGTTCTGTTTCTTTGTTGTGCTTTCTACTATTCATTGTGAAGTCAGGAAAAATAATAGTACTTATTAGAAAACATAATTTAAGTGGAAAAATTATTTCCTTTGCAGTAACCTTCAGTTACAGTTAGAGAACAAGATAATGATGGCAGTTGGTTGTTCAGGCTCATTTCATTCTCTAAAGATTTGTGTGGTTACATTTCTGACGGTTTATCAGGAAGGCTGCAGCCAGAGGCTGGGTCATGGCTGTGCTATCCTTCCTGCATTTCTAAATTGGCAGGAAATTTAAGGAACTCCAGTGTAGAAAAAAAGCTTCCATTATGAAAAGTTTATAAGCAGCCTATGTTCAGCACATTTTGGTAACATGTTGGTTTAGCTGGAAAAAACACCTTAAAGCAAAGAACATTTCACAAAGGAGAATTTTACTAGTTTTTCAGGAAGAAATGCCTAACGTTTATCTGTAAATGTTTATCTATAAATTAGGGTACAGTAACAACTTTGGAGAAGTTAAATAAGAATTATATTCTGTATTCTAATTGAAAATACCAGTGTAGTCTTAATTATAATGCAGTGGCATTCCAGGTTTATATTAAGTAACTACCTAAAGTTAATAAGTTAGTGCACCAGTATTCAGAGTTATTGGGCTTTAAACTACAAATAAAAATGTTTAAATAGGGGTGAAAGGGGAAAGAAACTATTTAGACTGGTATTTGAGTAGGACAACATTTGAATAAAGTTGAATTTTCTACTAATTGGTGTTCTTATCTTTCTTTTACTTTTCAAGTTTGTAAAAGCCTTGCTCTGTAGAGAGTCCTTTTAGAGTTTGCTATATTTTCATGTGTTCTGTTTAGTTTTGTTTGTACTTTTTATAGACTGTAATTGCACTTATACAAAACTAATCTGAATTTTGGTGCACCTTTTCAGGTTACAGTTTACTGCAGCCATGGAAACTGATTTTTTTAAGGTGTTTTTTTTCCTTTGGTTTTGCTTTTCCCAATGCTTGGAAGAAATAAAGCAAATAATCCTGACTAGTAATCTGTATCAAATTGCCTTCAGTTATCTCTTATTTGTAAATTTATGTGTCTCCCTAGGGTGTCTTTAAGGCAACTTGAAACTTAGTGGAAGTGGTCTTAATACCATGGCTACTGTGAAGTTTTTCCATCCACCATGGCTACTTCTCCTTATTAAGATGGCAGATCCCTGAATGCCTTCTCCTCCTAGCCCCCCTTCTTCTGCTGAGCAATACAGCTTGTTTGTTTCCTTGCAGTGATCTGGATCAGTGGTTCTTGGTTTTATTTGCCAGCTTTATTTTTCAGCTGCATAATTTCCCTGATAAGGTTTGCGCTATGGCTGCATAAAGAAATTTTTGCAGAACTGAACAGGCAGAAATGTTTGGAAGAGTACAAGACCAAATTGTCAGGCTTTTCTCACTGACAGTATAGACCTGCCTTTAAAAATTCAGGATTTTAAGAGTGATGTGGGACTATTTGAATGCATCCAAAAGGAGACTACAAGGTTGGTGAGAGTGCTGGAAGACATGTCCTGTGAGGAGCCACTAAGGACCTTGGGCTTTTCTAGTTTGGAGAAAAGGGGACTGAGGTGTGACATAATTACTCTCTATAGCTTTCTGAGCATGGGAAATTGGCAGCGTGATGCCCATCTCCTCTCCCTGGGAGGTAAGGATAGGACATGTAGAAATGGTTGAAAACTGTATCGAGGAAGATTCAGATTGGACACTAGGAGGAATTTCTTTATTCTGGGAGGGTGGTCAAACACTGGAATGGGGTAACTAGAGATGGTGATCAGTGGCCTGAGCCTGTCAGTATTTAAGGGAAATTTGGACAATGCCATCAAGACCATGATTAAACTTCTGGTCATTCCCGAAATGCTCAATCAGTTGGGCTAAATGATTGCTGTAGAGCCTTTCCAGCTGAAATAGTCTATTCCATTCTATGCTATACATCCTGTTCTTTCCCTTCCACTCTGAACATGCATGCAGTTTTCCTGAGGGCACACTTTGCACCTTATAGCGAAGCATCATTATGGACCTGAAGCTTTTGTGAGAGAGAAGGGGAATGGATGGTCTGACAGGAAAACTTTAATAGTAGAGGTGCTACGATGCTGTGCCTTGCCTTTCTTTCATTTCTGTTGTTGCTTTTTGCTGTAAGGAGGAAGTTCATCATAGTGCCAGAGGTCATAAGCTGGCTGAGTTTATTAGTCAGTGCTTAGAGCAGTGTCTTAGTTTTAATAGTGAGGTGTGCCTCACTCACTGGAAAATATCTTAAAACTTAAGACTAGATAGAGAAGCTACGAGTGAGAAGGAAAATATTCTTTTTTTTTTTTTAACCAGTTTTATGAAAAGCAGGAGAAGAGAAATGAAGTGTGAAGGATTGGGGAAGTAGGATATCAAGTAATCCTAACTGAATTTTAGTTCATGTAAAATAATGAAAGAGATAAGAGGATAAATGGAGAGTACGGTATTTAGGATGTGTTTAATTTGATGGGAAGTGAAACAATACAAGACCCCTAGAAATCTACAACAGAAATGTCTTTGACTATAACCTAGAAATATATAGATAGAATGGTAGTAGTAGCAGCTGAGGTGATCTTAGTTTAGTTTACATATATGGGATTCATGGAAACTAACAGCAATTGCTAAAAAGCTGAAGCATAAGAAACAACTTCTGATGAAGTGATTAAAATGAAAAGCAGTTATGAAAATGCATAGGTTCAGCATGTTGTGTTTCAGAGTTTTATTTTCTGTTTATCTTTAGGGAGAAAGGAACAATGGCTTTGATGTCCTCTATCACAATATGAAACATGGACATTTGTCAACAAAGGACTTAGCAGATTTTATTAGAGAAAGGTAAGTATTCATCCTATATTTTAAATATAGTAATTGTAGGTTTTATTGTTTGTCATTGTGTTTAACAGTAGTGTGCAAAATATGTAAACAAAATTCAATTATCAAAACTCAATTATTTTAATATACCTCTCACATTCTACAGGAGTATCTATACTTATTCCATTAGTTTAGAACTGAATAGGAATGCTTAAGCATCAGTTAATAATGAGCTTCTAATTTTTCAGGTTTCATTTTAAAGATGAGAATAAAAATCCAGAAGTGTCATATTAGGTGTCCAGCAGTTTATTTAAATTAATCCCAATTTTTCATTTGGAAGAAAAAGGAAGGAAAATGATAAGTTAAAGTTGCAAAAATTATTAGACTTACAAAGTTGTTACTATAGATTTGGAATTAGGCTATTAGCAACTGCTGGTATAAATTTTAAAAAATTACACTTTCAGAAGCTGAGACAGGTTTGTTAAAGAAAGAGGGTAATACATAGGGACAAGAAAATAATATGCAGAAAATAACACAAGTTCTTCTATATTGGATGAAAGAAACAGGACTGAAATCTGAAAATATGACAGCTTTCAAAACAGGTGATCTAGTGCTGCATTTAGTTCTTTGTGAAAGAAGATTGCTGCATTGAACATATGGATTTCCCTTCTTAACAAAATCACTTATATGCCTACTTTGGAATTTTGCCTTTCCTTAGTTACTGACACTAGATAACACATAGAAAATAGTTGCAAGGAATTGAATGAGGACCTGTTTCACTGCTGGCTTCTTGCAGTAGAAGCTATCGAACTGGAATTCTTCAAAATTTAAGTTTTGGCTTCAAATAGATCTCAGTTTAAAAAGTACTTTCAAATTTCCACAAAATATAACCACCACAAATCTGACAGATACTCCATTGCACTAACATTAGTGTAATTTCAAAGTGAATTGGAGAAAATTACAAAAAAACCATTTCACTAAGTAGAAACGGGTGAGGTCCAGAGTCCAAAGGTGGTGTCTCCTTTTGTAAAGACTGCACAACCAAGGAATCTTCTGTTTTTCAAGTCCCCAGTATCAGAGAATGAATTATGAGACCACAAAGGGTTCTAGTGAAAACCTGAGTTCGATTAAGCAGAAGGATATCACACTGTTCACATTCAGTATAAATGCTTAATGCTTCACAAACTTGTACTTTTAATATTTGCTTTTTATCGTCTGAGTTCTTGAATCTTTCCTTTGATAGCTTCTTTAATTTTGTATTCATTCAGTTTTTATACCATCACATCATGGACCTAAGCTGTACCTTACCTGGAGACATTTAACGTTATTGGTTTTACAACCTTTGTGTTTAGATTTACCCCCATATTTAGATGAGAAACCGTCTCACTCTCTCTGCTTCTTGTCTCCTGTATGTTGTATTTTTTGGGCATGCTCCATTTTATTCATATTGGTGCTAAGGTGAAAGGTCTTACATAAACAAACGGGTAAAAAATAACTTGGTACTGTATATGACTTGGTTGCTTTGCTTTATAATACTGACATAAGTAAAACTTGACAGTTCTTCCAGCACAAAATCCCTAGTAAAAAGAATATGGCATTCTGTTTTTTTTCTATCTATAAGCTTCAGCAAATTAAATTTTTAATTTCAATATTTTTGAAATTAAATAATTATTTTTAAATAACTTTTAAGTTATGAGCCTTTGCAGTCAGTAAAGAAAATCTTTGAACCTTTTTCCGCATGTTAAAATGTTTCAGCTCAGGTTTCTGCCAATTATTTCTAGTGTGTTAAATAACATTTAAAGATTAATGACCCTGTATGAATACATGAGGATCCCCGTGGGTACTTTATCCTCAGTGAGAGTTCAAGAAATGCTTTTTTGTGTGCATGGATCAGTATGTGCCAAAGAGATATGCAGCCATCTTACAGCATCTTTTGTAAGATCTATGAAAAAAATTCAGTTCTCATTAACTCACTAAGATAGAATCTGAGTGCTATGTTGCAATTTACTTGACAGAGCTGCGCTATTTTTCCTTAAGGGTAAGTTACCTATGTCAATGATGCAGATCAGCTGCACTAAATTCAGTCCTTTCTAGTGACTTGTTTCCATTGGGATATTAAAACTGCCTTGTGTATTCTTCAGCCCTGTTTTTCTGCTGCCTCTTGATAAGCCAGGCTGCAATTAACAAAAAGCAGTTGAGGAACAAATTGATACTTCTTTTCCATAAGGGATGCATGATCAATCACAGCCTAAGCTAGCAGTAGTTTGTGACATATAGTTTAGATTCAAAGAAATAGAGAGACTTCAAATATTTGGTATCCTTTAATAAAAATATTTGAGAGTCCAGATGTGTGCAGTGAAGCCCTTTGCTGCTGTTGTGAAGCTACTGTGGGATGTCATTCAATTTCCTGAGAAATAAAAATGGCTCAGTAGAACACATTTTTTCACATGGGCCAAATTCTTGATCTCAAAAAGAAATTGGATTAGACAGTACTTGAGCAGTATTTTACAATGGTTCAGTTCTCTCGTCCATGATCTCTTTTGCATATTTGTTAATTGCAAAGAAGTTAAGAGATGATGCGCACAGTTATCTGTTCTCCTCCTTCTGTAGATTATACTCTGAATACTGTTTCACTGAATACAGTACTGTCTTCTGCTGGGAATATGTTAAGTGGATGGGCAACATGTATTAGGAGCCATCGAGATCTAGTGTTTTCATGCTTTGGCTTTTGTGTACCTGATTTCTGAGCTCTTCCCTATGAAAACTAAATTTACATAGATTTGAATTTCGAATCTGTTTTTCCATCCTTTTTACACAATTGGCTGTTTTCTGTCTTTTTTTTCAGAAGTGGATACATAAGAGGGTGAAAACTGTTGAATAGGCAGAGACAGATCTGAGTTGGTGGTAATACTTTTGACAAATTGGAGTACTTACCCTTTCTAGGTAGAGCAGTCATCTAGTAAGCTGGGTTTGTTGGAGTCTCCAGACTAGTCAGAAAATATACTTTTTATGAAGTGATTTTGCATGGAAAGAAGAGATGGGTCAGCATGTTTGGATGTACAGACTGCTTAGGGCACAAAAACGTGTGTGAAGCCCATCTCTGTTACTTGTGCTGTTCAAAATGGTGTTTTTGTTGTGTGTAGCCTAATTGGGGAAGAGTATTGTTTCCTTTTCTCCAGCCTTAGAATTGGTAATGAAAAAATGTGTAAGACATGGAATAACTTTTAAAATTATTGTAATCTTAACCATTTCTTAAAAAAATATTTCAAAATTTCTGTAAGAACATTCTGAGATTGTGAACTTTTTTTGCTGAGAAAAACAAGCATTTGAAACATATGAATTTGTAATAATATTTCTATGCTGTATGTGCCATTCCTGCCTGATATCCTAGAAGGACCAGAAGTTTTGTTCCTTGTCTGTGTTCAGTGACACAGTATTGTTACTGGTCATGTATTAAAAGAACCAAAAGCCAGTTGGATCTGTGGTTTAGAAGTTTGTCATCTGAAGGAGTGAGTTTTCTGCCAGGCAGTCTGCTTAATGTTGGTAAATCATGAATGCGACAGGTTATCTATCTGCTGAAAGGTTAGACACCAGTTCTTAAAATCATCAAATCATAGAATGGTTTGAATTAGAAAGGATGTTCAACATGATCAAGTTCCAACCCTCCCCTGTTGTGATCAGGGACATCTTTCACTAGACCAGATTGCCCAATGCCCCTTCCAACCTGGCCTTGACTAAAGGCCATGCTTCACTTATAAAGCATGTAGAAATTTTTGTTTGTTAAAGAAGTCAAAATAAGAAGGTTGAGCTGTCTGCATAGTTGGTTTTTTTTTCTTTATATTTGTGGAAGATTTTGTAGGTGAACTGTCATGCATCTAAAGTCTAAACTTTTTATATCTAAGAAATCATGCTGCTTTTCTAGGAGAGATGTAGGTACAGAAATGTGTTGTTTTTTCTCCGGGAATCTTTCTAATGTTTTTCTGCACCAATTGCCTGTAAGCATCATAGAAAAAATCTTCTAGATCAGATGAAACTAACAATGCATATGTTTCCATTTAACTTTTAAATGTTTGGCAGATCCCAGGCAAAGACACACATTCAAGTGGGTGAAAATTAATTTACTAAGAAAATCGTAGTCTATTACCTGTACAACAGAGTGCTCTGCAAAGTCAGTTGATAGGACAAATGTACTAATTAGTCATCTTTCAGTTCTTAGTCTTTTTACTGATGTGTGTTAATACTCTGTAGTGAACTCCAGTTTTGTGGAGATAGTTCAGGGAAGTATGCTGTAAATTGGTTCAAAGAAAAGGCTTATGGATTTTGGCCAAAATTCTTGTGTTTAAACAGAAAAAATAAGTCACTGAGTTATAAAATCTGGAAAACTTGGGTAGACTATACAGATGATTAGTCAAAATATATTGTTCATCGTGGCAATTAAAAAAAAAATCATTGTCTATGCTTGGTGCATGTGTGCTTGCTGTTGTGGAGTGTGCAAGATTTCCAAGCCTTGGAAAGTTAACTTTTCCTTATCATCTAAAATATGATCATATGTGGAACAAGGATAAAGTGAATTGACTTTCTTTTATGGTGAATAACTTTGCAGTAGATAATACTCAAAATTAAATTTATCTGTTGCATGTTGCAGTTTAATCACCTTCTCCAGACAGATTTCCAACTAACAAACTGGATAGTTATTTTGGAAGTTCAGTAAGTTTTAACACATGCTCCTCTCTTTCAGGTGAATACCCCTACTTTGTTTTCATATTTTCACAAGACAATTCTTTTTGCTTGTAAACTGTTGTTGTGCACCAGAAAAGAAAACTTCTGTCTCAGGTTATAGTCATGGTATCACTTGAGAGAGGGATGAATTTTTCATCTGCCTTTTTTTCTTCTCTCATGTCCTGTGTAAACGTATTACACAGCAGGAAAGAAATTGCTCCAAGTTTTTCAAGAGAAAACAATTACAGTATTTACTCATATCTAGGATGCTTCCTAATCTAAGTTGACACTATATAGTGAATATTGTTTAAGGTGAAAAATTAAAATACTGTGTATTTTTAATAAAAGGAGGGTGAGGAAGATTAATAGGGAAGGACTTGCAGGGAGTCACTGCTGTAATAGATGATTCCGTGCCAATTGCCCTGCAGAGGCTCTGAGAAGGGAATCTGTGCCAACCCTTGGATTTCGCCTCTCTAAAAGACAAGTGAAATTGTGTGTTCGAGTAAAGGAAAATATTAGAACACTTTGTGTAGTTTCTTAACTCAGATATTACTGTGTGAAGAACCTAAAGGAAAGAACAGCCTACCCCCAACAATAAGACTAAACAAGACCTCATTTTGTTTTATGTGATTGTTCCGTAAATATTTTTGGTTTCTGCGTTTGACTTGTTCTGCTCCCTGTAATGTTTTGTCACAGGGTTCTTAGATTATTTTTTAAAATATACTAATGTATATTTTAAAATGTATGTACAGCTTTTGAGAGATCATTTAAATGGAATAATTTTTAGCTCATGTAAAAAGTCTTCTGTTTTTAACCTTTAGAACGCATATTCAGTCTTCTTACCTTCAAATTTTTGATTGTACTTTTGATGGCTTTCTTTGGCAGGGCAACAATAGAGGAGACATATTCAAGGTCGATGACAAAACTAGCCAAATCAGCAAGCAATTACACACAACTTGGGTAAGTAAGTGTACATAAGAGAGAAATAAGTCACTGTATACATGGTAAGATCAAGTCTGATTCTGAATATTTTATTGATGATGTTGAAGGTTAGTGTAACTTTATCTTTAAAAACGGTTGTTAGGTCTTTAGTAGCCATGCAAAAATTCCTGCGGACAAAGACAGCACAGTTCTTTGAACTGAAGAAAAAAACCAAAGCCTAAATACAGATAAACTGTCTTCTGTGTTTAAAGCAGAGTTCTTTTCAGACATAGTTACTTCTATTATGTCCTCTCAAGCCTATGGAAATTATTTTGAAGAGAGAACATATGGCCTGCAAATATGGCAGTGAATTTATTTATTTCTTTTTTTGGGGTGTTACCTGTTCTCCGAGATGTTCAGAATGAAGCTTTTCCATAGATTTATTCCACAGTTAAATGGAAGTTTTATACTCCTGGTATGTTTTTAAAAACTAGAATGATTAATGGATACCTTTCCATTAGATAGATTAGACCAATGAAAACTCAGACTTCTGAGAAAAACTAGATTTTTTTTTTTATAGTAATGTAATCTAGAAATGTGGGGAGCTTTCATCAGTGAATAATTTGATAATAGTTGTTTTTGCTCTTTAAATTAACAGGCAGATACAGAACCTTTGAACATAAGAGCTTTAAAGCCTATGGTTAGTATTGATTTCTAGCAGCACTAACCAGAATAGCAAGGCAGAAGTATGTCTTTGGAACGCTTGGAGAAAGTCCATTCAGCACAGAAATCTGAATCTGAGAAATGATCCCACCTCTTTGTTCATCTTCGTTAATCAGTAAATCCTTTTTAGTGGCAGACCATCCAATATTTTTTCTCCATCTTGTGGCTGCAATGATGTAAGACAACTAGAGATGTCACTAGCCAGGGAATTCCTGATTTGTTCACACTGATCAAGTATACACATAATAGTATTTACTACCACTTAAATTATTTTAAGCTGTTCTTGGACTGTCTTGATGCTTGGCATTGTTGTGTGCTCATTATAGTGTTAAATGAAATTTGTGGTGTTTTACTTATTAGAGCCAATACAAGTAAAACACTGGATGTTTTGTTTATTCAATTTTAGGAGAAGTGAACTGTAAACTTACAGATTATTCTGTAGCACTACTAAAAAAATTGCCAACTGAAAGAAAAAAACCAAAACAGATTAACATTATTTTCCTCAATCCAGGACATTTGCACCTGTTTGGGATGTTTTCAAAACCTCAACAGAAAAACTAGCAAGTTGTCATTTGGATCTTGTGCGGAGATTGCAAGAGCTAATAAAAGAAGTTCACAAGTATGGAGATGAACAGATCAAAGCTTACAAAAAGGTTATTCTTCTTTTTCTTATGCATGCCAAATGACTTGTAAACATTAAAATGGTTTGGTTTTGACAACCATATGATATTTGGCAGACTAAAGAAGATGTTTCAGGAACTTTGGAAGCAGTGCAAAATATTCAAAGTATCACTCAGGCCTTGCAGAAATCAAAAGAAAACTACAATGCAAAGTGTGTGGAACAAGAACGCTTGAAAAAGGAAGGAGCAACACAGAGAGAAATTGAAAAGGTAGCTGCCACATCTTACTTTAATTGTGCTATATTATTATCACTGCTTTTAATGAAGGAATGGGACCACCATTGGGCTAAGAAACAACTTATTGCTCAGATAAACATCAGTCTCAGATGTCATGAGATTTTAAAGGAGCAAACTGTTTGCCATAGCTCAAAGTAGTCACAAGTTCTTTGTTACAAGACAATATATAACTTTCTAAACCAATGGACAGTTGCCACAAGGTTTATTTTGCTTTTCTAACCTATCACCTTTACTCACTTCTACTGCACTGCAGATACTTTTACCCAGGGGGGTATTATGACACATATACACATATACTTCCATTATAACTTTTAAACTCTTAACTTACTCTATTACATTACTCTCCTTACAATTATATTACTCTCCTACAGACCCTTCACCATCTTACCCAGTACAGTTTCTTACTTAAGGTATATTCTTACTTACAACTATAGAGACATAGGTTTATGATTTTTCTACTTAATGTCTATGTACTTTATTTTTACATTAATCCAAGCTCCTTCCAAGGCTGCAGATCAAACTCCCCTGTATCTGTGGAAGTTTCTATCTTTCCATTTCCCACAGTGCTACTAATTGTCATACATGTTCACCTTGTATTAGTAAGTGGAATGCTCAGAAAGGATTAAACATAGTTGAAAGTTGTGACTACTTGGAAATATGCACGATATTGTTAATATCTAGATAAGTATTGTTTACACTTACTTCCTTGTCTATTCTTACTGTACTGTATTTCTAATTTTTCACTTTATAAATACCTGCATCAAATGATAGTTTTGTGTAGTGTCTTTAACAGAAACTATGCCCAATTGTTTTAAAATCTATTGCATTTTTGAATATATTTTCTTATGTAAATGCTCAATGCCCTTGAGTAACAGAACTCAGGAATAATTGTGTTATCCCTGCAAAGAGATAAAGTAGCTGCGTACATGAGTATTTGAAGTCTGTTCAGTAAAGAAAATGTTATCAGCACTTTCACTGCTGTTTTAAAAGATTCCAATCTCATGGACCAGAGACTGAAGGGATCTTCACGATGAGTCAATACAATTAGTATCTTGAGGTGTATTTAGTACTGTCTGTGGGTTATAATGGGGGATTGATCCATTCACAGAATCACTCAATGTCTAGGGTTGACAGGGACCTCTGAAAGTTTTCCTCTCTATTCCTCATGCTCAGGCAGGGCCATCTAAAGCCAGTTACTCATGACCTTGTCTAGACAGCTTTCTAGTATCTTCAAGGATGGAGATCCCATGGTGTCTCTGGGCAACCTGTGCCAGGGCTCAATCACCTTCACAGGAAAAAGGTGTTCCCTGCTGTTTTCAGAGGGAGGAAACCTTTTGTGTTTTCAGTAGTGCTCAGTGATCAAACCATTGTCTCTGGTTTGATCACTGAGCACCACTGAAAAAAGCCTGACTTTGTCTTTTTATGTAGTCTCCCTTCAGGCATTTGTATCTCTTGGTAAGATTTGCCCTCAGGCTGAGCAGTTCCAGCAGTCTCAGCTTTTTCTTATGGGTCAGATGCTTCAGTCCCTTCATCATCTTCATGCCGCTTTACTGGATTCTCTTCAGTATGTCTGTGTCTCACTTGCAATGAAAATTCCGGAACTAGACACTACTCCAGGTGGGGGCCTCCCCAGTGCAGAGTAGAAGGGAAGGATGCCCTTCCTTGACCTGCTGAGAAAATAGTAACTTTTTCCTATTTTCAGGAGTCTAACTAGTAGAGGAAAGAAGTCACCTTTCCTTGTCTCTAGTTACAAGTTCTCTTATTAAATCACGAATCCTCTGCCTATTTCCGTTTCAATTAACTGGTCTGTGTATGACTTTGGTCTTGATAGAATGATGTTTTTGCTTTCAGTCCTGCTATCTTGATGGAGAAGATAGCATTGGTTCTTGTCTTTTCACTGATGACAAATGTTATTTTGTTGACTGTTTCAGTTGTTTTATCTTGGTACAAATCTAGCTTTTTTCCCCCAGCTTCTGTCTCAAATGGGAGTTCATGCTGGATTCTAGACATGAATCAGATGTGTGTTGGCACATGTTTTCCTGCTAGTCCGTTCAAAGTATAATTTTTCTAAATTCTTATAAATAGGGTTTCAGTAGGAAAGGTTGACTTGAGGGAAGGCTTTTTAAGATGTAGCCTTATCCTTCATTTGGAAACAAAAAAATACTCAACATGACAGATGTCTGCATGAGAAGGGGGAAAGAGGAAGCACTTTAGGAGGAGGGTAATTTTTTTACTGTTTTATGCATCTTCCTTAGGTACAATTGTGTCATTGAATAGTACTTGAATGCAAGTACTTAAAATATGTTTCTAGTGGGAGTAGGTAACTGACATTGTCACATTCTCTTCTGTCATGCCTCTATTCAAATTTACACTTGCAGTTTTGTAAACAGAGTGACCAAAAATGTGTTAATTATTAGACAGGCTGGCAGCCCGTGGCTTGGACGGGAGCACTCTTTGCTGGGTGAGGAACTGGCTGCACGGCTGGGCCCAGAGAGTGGTGGTGAATGGTGCTGAATCCAGCTGGCAGCCAGTCACCAGTGGTATCCCTCAGGGGTCTGTGCTGGGCCAGTTCTGTTTAATATTTTTATTGATGACATGGATGAGGGTTTAGAGTCTTTCATTAGCAAATTTGCAGATGACCCTAAGCTGGGAGCGTGTATCGATCTGTTAGAGGGACAGAGGGCTTTGCAGAGGGACTTGGAACGGTTGCATGGATGGGCAGAATCTAATGGGATGAGATTCAGTAAGTCCAAGTGCCGAGTCTTGCACAATAACTCCCTGCAACGTTAGACGCTGGGGATGGTGTGGCTGGACAGTGCTCAGGAGGAAAGGAATCTGGAGGTGCAGGTTGACAGTTTGCTGAACATGAGCCAGCAGTGTGCCCTGGTGGCCAAGAAGGCCAAGGGCATCCTGGCCTGTGTCAGGAACAGTGTGGCCAGCAGGAGCAGGGAGGTCATTCTCCCCTGTACTCAGCACTGGTGAGGCCACACCTCGAGTGCTGTGTCCAGTTCTGGGCCCTCAGTTTGGGAAGGACCTTGAGACGCTTGAGCACATCCAGAGAAGGCAACGAGGCTGGAGAGGGGCTGGGAACACAAACCCTGTGAGGAACAGCTGAGGGAGCTGGGGGTGTTCAGTCGGGAGAAAAGGAGACTCCGAGATCTCTCTTTAGAGGTCTCTTATCACCCTCTTCAACTTCCTGAAGGGTGGCTGTGATGAGCTGGGGGTCAGTCTCTTTCTCCAGGCAACAACAGACAGAACAAGAGGACACAGTCTCAAGCTGCACCAAGGGAGATACAGGCTAGAATTAAGGAGGAAGTATTTTACAGAAAGAGTGGTCAAATACTGTAATCATCTACCCAGGGAGGTGGTGGAGTCACCATCCCTTGATGTGTTTAAAAAAAGACTGGATGTGGCACTTGGTGCCATGATCTAGTTGAGGTGTTAGAACATGGGTTGGACTCGATGATCTTAAAGGTCTCTTCCAGCCTAGAAATTCTGTGATTCTGCAATTTATTCTTCCTTTGGTAGAAAATAGATGTATTACTTTCAGTGCAACATATAACTATTTGCGTGCAAAATCACAGATTCACTGCTTTCTCAGAAAACAAGGGATCTGCACCAGTATACTAAGAGTTTATCACAAAGTGAAATATTTGGAGAGATACTTTGTTGAAGAATCTAAGGAAGTATCTGAGACCTTGCAAGTCTCATTGCAGCTGGAAGTTAATACTGACTTGCATAATAATTTCCTGTTGTTCTCTGACTTGTAAACTTCTCTATTTTTAGTGACTTAACAAAAAATCAGTTGACTGATCCTTATTCTTTCACATACTGTAAATCTGATCACATACTGTAAGTACAGTTCTAGCAATTGCTGTACCTGAGAATAGTCATATCCTATTTTCAGAAGAGATTACTAGTTAATCATACAGTGTCCATGTGTTTTATCATTTTTTCTGTCCTTCTGAGTACTTAGTTTTTTAATTGCTCTTCAACATGAAATACTGGCATTCTGCTCATCATTAAACATGATGGGAAATGGAGAATGTTCTTGTTTTGCCAAACTCCATTGCACATAGAGTTCAACTAAAAATACTTTACCAAAAAAAACCTCCCATTTTTACATCTTTTAGCTTGACATTACTTTCCTTTTTAGTGATTAAATTTGGAATCAACTTCAAAGCAGTCATACTTTTAAAAGCAAGATTTCACGGAGCATGTTGTATTTTCAGCATAGTAAATGGCAGTTGAGAAATATGATAGCACTCTGTGCTTCTCAGTGATTTTCCTCTGTAAATGTGTATGAGTGAGAATCATGAAGTAAAATTCAGGATAATAAACTGATAGGTTTAATACAACTTTTCTGAATAATCCATATTTTTATTATTTTAAATATTTTCACATTCTGGTATGCTGAGTTTAGAAGAGTTTGTGACTATGGTATGATTAGGTTTTCTTTGTAACTGGACAACTACTTTTGATTTCTATTCCTTTGAAGTGCTAATGGTATACTGTTACTCATGATTATCAGTTATTTTTCTCTTGGAAATTGCAGAATCTCTTTCTCTTGCCAGCGGGCATCTTTCTATTAACTCATTTGAAATTATAGATAGCAGTCAGCTTTACAAATCATTGTAAATAAAAAATAGTTTCTGTTAGACAGATGAAACTGATTTGCAAGGGGGAGGAGGGCTATAACTAGAACAAATAGAAAATATACAATTCTCTTTACTGATCTTATTAACAATTCAGGAATACTTTTGTATTACAAATTTCTGAGAGATAGTAAGCATGTTGAATAAAGAAGCTTGGAAAGAAAATGGTGCTCAAGATGATTTTCATTGGCATTTAATTTGGAAATGGATTATCAGTGGTTTGAAAGACTTCATCTCATGCATCATGATGTAAACTTTGAAAATTACTTTTTCTCTACCACAATCAGTCACTTCATTTAGTTTTGTTCTCCATGTAATACTGAGATTTTCCTGTATTTTGTTTTATGTTCTACTTAACTCCCAGAAAGTTGATTTTGGTTTATTAGCAACAAATAATGAAAAGTATAAATCTCCGAAGTACTATTAATAATAATAATACTGACTTGCCTAAATGTGATCTTCACTATACTCTGCACTAGCTTCACTTTCAAATATCTGTTAATTCATTGATGCAACTCCCATATACTTCTGAGTTTCTTTCTTCATTTCTAAGAGAACTTCAGCATCATGGGGTTTTGCCATTCCTTTCAGAATTGCACTTGTAACTGTTTGCTCTATATTCTAACCCTTCTTTTTTTCTTATTTTGCTGTTGCAAATATAACTTTGTTGTTCCCATTTGACAAGAGCTAATGAGTTGTCTTCAGCAATAAAAATTTGATATCAAAGTTAGTATTGTTATAAATATTTTAATAAAATTTTCATTGCTTCTAAGGGCAAGTGATTTAGTTGACTTAATTTGTTACACTTGTATGTGATTTATATATAGTAAAATCTCCAGTTGCTCTTATCTGAGATGTTTGGTGTTGAAATTTTGTTATGATGCGTCTCTGTTTTGGTGTCTGGTGCCTCTGTTTCATACCCCTGATAATTTTTAGAGATCATCCTGGGCTTTCTTTTAATATTAACTTTAAAAACCTGTATATGACATTTGTCTCATTTTTGTATTGATGTATAGGCAGCAGTTAAATCTAAAAAAGCAACAGATACCTATAAACTGTATGTGGAAAAGTATGCTGCATTGAAATCTGATTTTGAACTGAAGATGACAGAAACAGCACAGGTAAGTGTTGAATTAACTTTTGAAGTTGGTTAATGTATTCTATTTAATTTCTAGAGCAATTTGAAATTAAAGATTTAAAAAACTAGTCCCTTTGGAAATTGATCTGCTTGAAAGGCAGACACTGACTATGTATGTTGTGATAGCACTGTCCTTCAATGACACTGTGCTGGCACTCTAGAAGGTGTTTTGAAGAAATTTTTGGCAGAAAGCAAAATGAACTTCTGCAAGTATTGTATGTGCATTTTGTTTATGTGGAAAAACATCTGAATTGCTGGGCACCCTGGACTCATTTACAGGAATTTTAATATTGGGATCCATTGTGGCTTTTCATTATTATTCCACTGAAACACTAAAGTTACAGTTTGTTAAAATGCCTACCCAGGATTTACCTGAGGTTATGAAAAGCCATTACAGCTGTTCAAGTTTCTGGGGTTTTTTAAAAGACTATATTCTAGAAGATTTCAGGTGCTTTGTATCAATGCATATGCCATTTCTTGCTACATTTTAGACCACATTTGCCTAAGTGTCCTTAGCTCCTTAACTGTAGCTGTCCTTTTACTTAAAATTGAAAGTAATTTTCACCTAATGTTATTATGGACACTTGTAAACTTTCCACATTTGTCCATATTGGAAATGAAATTGTCATTCTGCCAATTAAAGATATATGCGTGGAATTCACTTTAAGTATAATGGTGTAGCTGCGTTCACAATTTGGTTGCACAATGGCTACTTTAAAGATGATGTGATAGGAAAAATTACATCCATGAATATATGGAAGCCCACTTCTGTGTGAAGCACATCTTGTATTGTCTTAATTCAGCATACATTTCATTTGAAAAGATGCTGATTAATTCTCAAAACTAAATCAATGAGAAGTGTGAGTATTTTAATTTCTTTCAATGCAAAATCAGTTGGTTTAGATTAAATCTGTCTTACAATGTCCAGTAAAAGTAAAATCGTAGAGTAGGCTACAGAGGATGTCTGTGTCTTCTGTAATTAAGATGAAGGCTGCTGAAGAAAAAGAAAATAATTTTAATCTCCCTAAGTGATGACTACAGAGGTACATAAGTATGGCAGAAGATTGAGGGTCTAAGAAGCTAGAGATATGTGTCTTGTATGCAGGGAGTCATAGTTTGTGAATCAGAGTAGCAGGATGTTGAAGAAGGGGATCTTCACAGAACCCTGTGCTAATTGGAGACAGGATTAAGTGGTGCACCGAAGTTTGGACACTCTTGAAAGGGTAGTTACAGAAATAGGCAGAGAACTAGGGAAGAGCAGAAGTAAACAAAAATTTCAAGACTGTTATGGTTGACTGTTGGAGAGGATGAGAACATTTTTAGTTCTGAGTTTTGGCCCGGAAGAGGCCATTGAAAACTTTGGAAGTGATTTTAAAATGGCTGTCAGCTGACAGCCTGGGTAAAAAGGAACAAACTGTAAAAATTATGCATGATGAGTTTAAAGATCAAACAAATCATATTTAAAGAACATAGATTTAACTAGAGAAAGAGTGTGCATGTTTACAGTTGTTCTAAAAAGGAAGTGCAAAATAGATCCAGACATAAGATTTCTTGGTTTAGGTGAAAAAACAAGACTCTTCAGTTATGGAGAAAAGAGGAAACTTGAACACCTTCTAAACATCTTTTGGTAGAAATAGATCAGATTTTTTTGAAGGGCTAGATGAAAGTTCACACAGTAAGTAAAAAAGTTCAATAATAATTCTGAAATGATCGCTTGCTTTCTTAAGTGCATTATTTCATAACTGAATTCTGCACTTTACTTTCCTGAATGTGACTATTAGGTTTAAGATGTGGGGGAAAAAAAGGGCTTATTTGTTATTTTTTCATTTTAGCGTATTTAATTATTGAAATTTAAGATTTATTGTTTCAGGAAATATTTTCATTATTATTAATTGCTTATATTTGTTTGCAGAAATTTCAAGACATTGAAGAAATGCACCTTCTTCGAATGAAAGAGATTATACAGTCATTGTCAAATACCATAAAAGAAATTCATTTACAAATAGGAGAGGTATTTTTATACTATATTTGGATCATGCTTTGTTTTTCCTTAATTGTTAAATGAAATATTTCTTTCTTTGTGAAATTCAACATAAGGTCAAATTTCCATGGCTTCCTGTTGCATTTTTAAGTTCAGTACCACAAAGTTTACCAAATAAGACTGGATAAATTTTGTCATCAAGAAAAAAAATATTAGAACAATTTGAAGAATTTAAAAGTTGAAGAATTTTTAGTGTATTTCTAAATTCTGCTTCCTGGATATTAATTTAGCACTCATTTCACACAGATTGAGGATACTGCTTTTTAAATTAGAACTAGAGATTATATCAGTCTGGGAAGTTTCCAAGTATGTTATACTCTTGGATTTTATGAGCAAAAGATATTTAGTAACAGAAGCTTTTATAATATCTTTCGTTTTGATGGAAGTTGAATTAATTAATAATCTTTATAAGCAGTCCTCTTTTATTTTTTTTGAAGTGTCACTTTATTTGCTTACACTTTAGTATTGAGGTTCTCTGCTAATAAATGATCATCACAAGGGTGATGCTGTTAATTTCTAAAGTATATACACATCCTTCCTTGTTGAAAAAACCTATTAACAGCATGTTGTTAGAGCAAAACAACGTGTTGCTAGACCAGAAGTATTACAAAAGTAAGGCTTTTTACTCAAGCAGGTGGGAGTTGTGATAATACACTAATAACAGTTCACGCCCTGAACTGGTGCTGGCTGAAAAAACTGCCTGTCTTCCTGACATTATAGTGGGATATGTTGCCAACAAATGTAGAAAAATATATATACACAAGTTTTTTAACATGGAAGAAATAGAAGTAAAAGCTAGATCTGTCATTTCATTTTTTGTCTATAGTGTACCCACACTTGCCAATACTACAGAAAGGAGTAGTTTTTCCTAGATAAATTATCTTTTGATTTTTCTAAGTCCTAATTTTTCTAATGTGTTTTAGGGGAAGGATTATGAATTTTAATTTCTACAAAAGCTACTTCTTAAAGTTAATAACTTTTTTTTTTAAGGTGCATGAAGAGTTTATTAATAACATGACAAATACAACAGTTGAGAGTTTAATACAGAAATTTGCTGAGTCAAAAGGAACTGGCAAGGAAAGACCTGGTAAGAAATTAAAACTCACAGAATAGGAAATGTTAGCTTTAAAACTGGAAATTTCCATTCTTAATGAAATGTCAAACCTGTATTTGTTAATGTGCTGTATTTTTAACATATGTTCAAATTCTTAGTATTCATTATTAACTTTGATATGAAATGGTTTGTGGAAATTGGTAATGCAGAATTCATTATGTGCATGTAGTATTTGTGTTCATGATGCTTGGTAGTTTATTGGTCTGTACAACTAAACTATGCAGTTTCCTGGAACATCAGGAAAATTTGTCAAGAAGCTGTAGTTCCTTATACTACAAAATATGTGTTGTCTGCTATGTGTTTCTTGTACAAACTGTGAAATCTGCATAAATTGTACTTCAGAACTTTGTTGAATATAAACGTATTAAGAGCAGATGTCTATAAAGCTGTTTATTCAGCTATTGGAACGGTTGCATAAATTTGTTCAGCTTACCAAATTATCATTTTAATAGATACACAATATCTATTCTTTTATAAAATGTATTTTAATATACAATAATGTGTATTGCTTCTTTAGTAAGAAGCAAATTGAATAGTACTTTCTGAAGCTACTGTTGATTGGGTGTGGTAAGACTTTCCTGGACTGGCATAAAAAGTTGTTCTCACTGTACTGCCTATATAGTGTCACTTTAATATTGGCATGAATATACAGTCACTAGGTGTGTAAACAAGGAATTAGTAGTACTGTTTCCTTCAGTGCTAGGAGTCCTCACAAGCATCTCTGTCTTCTAGTAGAGGCACACAAAGATGGTTTTTTTCCTAGAGCAAGAATGTACATACCAGAGTAGGTAATGAAAATTTATAATGAATTGTTAAATATTATTAGGTGTCTTGCAATGTGTGTGGGAGGTGTTTAAAACATAACATTGTTTCATATTCTTTCTGTGATCCTGTAATGCTGATATCCAAGTGGACTGAGGTAAGATTACATATGGAATGATTTTTGAGAGTTTCCTGTGTATGTATCAATTTCTCAGTAAAGCTTAAAAAAGAAAATATGTGAACTTTAGGGTATCAAGTTCAGTTGGTCTGAAACAGGACAAAGACATGTTACAATTTGGTGTTCAGACCTCTTGGATTAGCTGTTGCCAAGATGTCACGGGAGGGATCTCCATCTTGCATTTAAGGTTCTGACTGCCTGGGTTACAAAGACCCTTGCTAATTTGTCCTAGAACATTGCACACTTCAAGTCATGCTATCCAGCATGGGTTTTGCCAGACAACATTGTAATTTTTAGAGAAGTAACACTTCACCATTTAATTTAATGGAAAAATTACACACATTTATTCTTGCTGCTTTACAGTTCTTCCCATCTGTGCTCTCTGAGGACGAATAAAAACTTCTCCAAATATATTCTAAGAAAGTTAAGCCAAGTATTTTTAAGAAACAATAACACATTTAGTGTGTAAATATATGCACCTTCAATTTTCTTTTAAATTATTTTATTGATACAAGCTTTGTCAAGCAGTCATAGTGCAGGGAGAAAGTATAGTCAAATTCAGCAGCAAAAAATATAAATTCACAAGAAGTTTTGGAGCGTTCAAGAGTAACAGCACAGACTTCTAATGACGTTAATTATGCTTATTGCTTCTCATATATTTGTTTTATAAACTTAGAATCATAAAACTTTGATAATTCCGAAGATTTGGAAGGCAAAGTGAAGTGTCAGTCTTCTGAGAATGAAAAGGACACAACCACTCTTAAGGACTACTTTTTCTTGATTAAACTTCCACTTTTTTGCATCTGAGAACAGTTCACAGTGAAAAGATAATTCATGGAACAAATGCTGAAAAGTCTGTGGGATGTATTTATTAATTAGGTTGAAGAAGGAGATGGCTCCTCAGAAAAACTAAATATTCAATGTAAAAAATGATACTGACTTGGCTTACAAAACAAATGCAGAAAAACTGCATTTGTTGTCACTGTTGGTTTTAACTGTCACTGTAGGTTGTAACTTAAATATGTTTAAAAGCAATATTTTCAAATTCCCCAGGACTATGTAAGCATTTTTTCATCCTTTTCATATTATTTGTGGGTTATTATGATAAGTGAGATGGGTGGGTACCTTCAGATAAAATAAACTAAAAAGGCAGTGCATAACAAAGGTTTTTAGTTTATTTCAGTATATTCTAGCTGTTTATAGTTATTCACAGCAGAGTTCACTTGCTTTTATTTATATCTGTAAAAATAAGAATGAATCAGAAATGAAGAACTGATGAGAATTACAAACCATTTACAGTAAAGTTAACTGCATATCTGAAATGTATCTGTACAGTGATGTCCGTTTTACCAGATTATATGGGCTCCCTCTGGTGGCTAATTTCTGTCGCCTGGAGTCAGAATGTAGAGGGATATCTAGAATTCAAGTCTGTCTTGTCCAAATAAAAGGTTTTCTTTCAAACAGTAATGCTTTGTGAGAGTTTAATTCGCTCAGGAACTTCTTTACAATGGCTCTTTTTGCACTGCTACCTAAATAAATTATCTAGTCAGCTTTTTAACCTGCTTCTCACTGAATTTGCTTTAATTTTTTCTTTATCAATTCAGTTTAGAATTAGAGTTTTTAGTAATACAGCATTTGGAGAAGTAATAATTTTTGTTTTCTGACTTCCATTCAGTGAAAAAAAAACCAAAAGACCAAACCACTTACATCCAGTTGTGAATCTTTAGTTCTAACTGAAAAGAAGGTTAGTGTAAAACATCAAAAAACAAAGCTGTCAGGACCAGTAAGGCTTTAGATGAGAATTTAATGTGTTCCCTGAACTGCCTCTAACACCCAGAGGAGCCAGGATGAGGTCAAAGAATGGGCCCATGTGAACCTCATGAGGTTTAACATGACCAAATGCAGGGTACTGCCTGTGGGTCAGAGCAGGCCTGGTACCAGCACAGGCTGGGCATGAACAGATCCCAGCAGCCCTGCCCAGAAGGAATTGGGGGTGCTGGTGGCTGAGAGGCTGGACATGCCCCAGCCATGGGCACTGCCAGCCCAGAGAGCCACACGTGTCCTGGGCTGCATCCAGAGCAGGGTGGGCAGCAGGGCAGGGAGGGGATTCTGCCCCTCTGCTCTGCTCTGCTGAGACCCCACCTGCAGGGCTGCATCAGCTCTGGGGGCACAGCACAGCAAGGACAGGGAGATGTTGGTGTGGTCAGAAGAGAGACACCAAGTTTATTAAAACACCTCTCGTATGAGGACAGGCTGAGGGAGTTGAGGCTGTACCGCCTGGAGAACAGTATGCTCCAGCAATAATAGCTGATTGTGGCCTTCCAGTACTTAAAATAGGCTTATAGGAAAGATGGGGATAAGAAATTAGAGCCTGTAGTGGTATGGCAAGGAGTAATATTTTTAAACTCAAAGAGAGTCAATTCAGACTAGATATAATTAAGGTGTTTTTTATCATGAAGGTGGTGAAACACTGGAACAGGTTGCTCAAAGTGGTAATTTTTCCATCCATGGAACCATTCATCTTCATGTTTGACAGGACTCTGAGCAGCCTGATCTTGTCAAAGATGTCTCTGCTTATTGCAGGGGGGATTAGAAAAGATGAGCTGTAAAGATCCCTTCCAACCCAAAATATTCTAGGATTCCATGATGTTCCCAGTGTTAGGTTTAATACCAGATTTGATACCATGAGTTGGAAGATACTTTAGTCACTCATATGGTTCTGCAATGTTCATCAAAACTTATCTGTGACCGTGGTCACAGGGATTTTCAGGTGAAAGGAGAGACAAGAATGTTGACTCTGTGGTCAGAAGGCTTGATTTATTATTTTATGATATATATATTACATTATAGCTATACTAAAAAGAAAAGGAAGGAAAAGGTTTCTTGAGAAGCTAGCTAAGCTAAGAATAGAAAAGAAAAGAATGAAAACAAAAGGCAGCTCTCTTGGACTCTGTCCGAGATAGCTCTGTCTTGATTGGCCATTAATTATAAACATCTAAGAAGGGCCAATCACAGGTGGACCTGATAATACTTGTTTACATTCTGTCTCTGAAGCTTCTTAGCTTCTCAGAAGGAAAAATCCTAAAGAAGGGATTTTTAGTGAAAAGTTGTCTATGACACTTAACCACTTCTGATTGATTGGTTTCCTGTTCGTTGTAGTCTCTTGCTTCATATTCCTTGGAAATCTAATCTAATTTATTGTATGGCAGAAGATATCTGCTTTTCTTCCAAAATATATTTAAATCAATAATGGAAGTGTTACCAGAGTAATCTTCTTTCAGATTAATGAGATACCAATGCGCTCTAGCTCTAGATACCTAATCTATTAATCTGTTAAAAAATTGGTTTGTTCTAATGTGCAGTGTTGGTGCACAAGGCATAGAAGCTGCTAAGAAGTTTAAGCTCATATTCTTTTTAGATTTTATATCTGAAATTTTCCGATTAATATCAAATTTCTTTTAAGAGGTTAGTGAATGCCTATATATCTGTAGTTGATAATGACTAATTTTAGTTACTGAATTACCATATCCACTTCTCGTCTATGGGGAACTAGATCTGTGTGTTTGTTCTTGTATTAGTTTTTGCCCACTACATGGTTCACTTAGAAGGTTTCATCCAGCCCAGTCTTGAATACTTTCAGAGATGAGGGATCCACAGCCTCTCTGGGCAACCACTACCTGTACCCTCACAGTAAAGAATTTCAGCACCCTCACAGTAAAGATTTTCATTCTAGTATTTAATTTAAACCTGTCCTTCTGCATGTTAAGGTCATTCCCTCCTTCCTATCGCTACATGCCTTTGTGAAAAGGCCCTTTCCACTTTTCGTGTAGGCCCACTGTAAGTACTGGAAGGTACTCTAAAGATACAATTGACTTTTTGGTTTGTGAGTGCCTCTGGCTGGGTCACAGTAGGCGGCTTGTCCACAAAACCCACCACATCTTTCTTTCACAAGGCTGCTCTCAACCCATTGTCTGCCCAGCCTGTATTGGTGCTTGGGATTGCTCTGACCCAGAATCGTGCTGTTGGCCTTTTT